AAAGCTTTCAAATGAAAGTGTTTTTCCCCAGTTTCTACTTAGGCTACCTCAAGAGGAAACAAACCACAGAGATAGCACTGAGAACTACTTTATTCTGTCACGTTTCAAGGAGCTAGCCCAAACCGTGTTTCATTTAGGGTTCCAACGATATCTATCAATTATGGAGAAAACACAGTGAAACCTAAAAATTCATACTGTTACTGCAAACGAACGCTTCCACCTAGAAGAACGAAATTTGGTGGGCTAAGTGGGATTTTTGTACTGATAATTACTGCCAAGTATCATGAACATTGGGTGAAAAAATGTTTTCTGAGATTTCAGGAAATTCCCAGATTTTGGAAGCTTGTCAAAGGCTTCCAAATGAGGTATTATGGGATGCAGCGGTGGAATGGCGCTGGGCGTGTGATTTTGAACAAACCCGTGTCTGTGTCTTGGAGGCGCCGCCGCTGCCGCCGCCTCTGCTGGGAGCTCAGGGAGCGCCGAGCGATAAGGAGGCGGCGGCGCCGCTGGTTTTGCACCTGATCACCTTTCTAGCAGGAGAACGATCATGGAGGTGGTGCCAGCTGAGGTGAATAGTTTGCTTCCAGAGGAGATAATGGACACTGGTATAACTTTAGTGGATGATGATAGTATTGAGGCTGTTATTGTTTCATCCCCAATTCCCATGGAGACAGAACTGGAAGAAATTGTCAACATAAATTCTACTGGTGACTCTACAGCCACACCCATTTCCTCGGAACCAATCACAGTGTACAGTAACCACACTAACCAAGTTGCAGTGAATACCACAATTACTAAATCAGATTCTAATACCACAGTGAAACCAGCTTTTCCAAGTGACCTTCAAAAACTTGGTGCTCAGACTCCTGTGACTATATCAGCCAATCAGATTATTTTAAACAAACAGACATCTGATCTTAAACTTGGCAATCAGACCCTTAAACCAGATGGACAGAAGTTAATTTTAACAACTTTGGGCAAGTCTGGTTCACCAATTGTTTTAGCTCTACCCCATAGTCAACTACCCCAAGCTCAGAAAGTTACAACTCAGTCCCAGTCAAGAGATGCTAACTTACCACCACAGCAAATTAAAGTAGTTACCATTGGAGGGAGGCCAGAGGTGAAACCTGTCATTGGTGTCTCAGCATTGACCCCAGGAAGTCAACTGATCAATACTACAACTCATCCCTCTGTGTTACAGACCCAACAGTTAAAAACAGTACAGATTGCTAAGAAGCCTCGAACACCAACCTGTGGTCCAGTAATCATGAAGCTGATCTTTGCAAAACCAATTAATAGTAAAGCAGTTACAGGACAGACAACTCAAGTATCACCATCAGTCATTGCAGGTAGGGTACTTTCACAGTCTACTCCTGGAACTCCATCAAAGACCATTACAATATCAGAAAGTGGTGTTATTGGATCAACTTTAAATTCTACAACACAGACACCAAATAAAATAGCCATCTCACCTTTGAAATCGCCAAATAAGGCAGTGAAATCTGCTGTGCAGACCATCACTGTTGGAGGAGTGAGCACATCAAAGTTTAAGACAATTATTCCTCTGGCAAGTGCTCCCAATGTCCAGCAGATTCAAGTGCCTGGAAGCAAGTTTCATTATGTCTGACTTGTTACTGCCACAACAGCCAGTAGCTCAACCCAACCAGTTAGTCAGAATCCCAGTACAAACACTCAGCCTCTTCAGCAAGCAAAGCCAGTGGTTGTTAATACAACCCCAGTGCGGATGTCAGTTCCATTTGTCCAAGCTCAGGCTGTCAAACAATTTGTCCCCAAACCCATCAATCCAACTTCACAAATAGTAACTACTAGCCAACCACAGCAACGGCTTATCATGCCTGCTACCCCACTGCCACAGATCCAGCCCAACCTCACTAACCTGCCACCAGGTACTGTCCTGGCACCAGCTCCAGGAACAGGGAATGTGGGTTATGCAGTGCTTCCAGCTCAGTACGTTACTCAGCTACAGCAGTCTTCATATGTGTCTATAGCAAGCAACTCTAATTTTACTGGAACATCTGGTATCCAGACCCAGGCAAGACTCCCATTCAATGGCATAATTCCATCAGAATCTGCCAGTCGGCCAAGAAAACCCTGCAACTGTACAAAATTGCTGTGTTTGAAATTGTACTGTGACTGCTTTGCAAATGGCGAATTTTGCAACAATTGCAACTGTACTAATTGTTACAACAATTTGGAACATGAAAATGAAAGGCAAAAAGCAATAAAGGCATGACTTGACAGAAATCCAGAAGCTTTTAAGCCTAAGATAGGGAAAGGAAAGGAGGGAGCCATCAGATCGAAGTCACAGCAAAGGATGTCATTGCAAACGATCAGGATGTCTTAAAAACTACTGTGAATGCTATGAGGCAAAAATAATGTGTTCCTCAATATGTAAATGTATTGGCTGTAAGAATTTTGAAGAAAGCCCAGAAAGAAAGACATTGTTGCATTTGGCAGATGCAGCTGAAGTAAGGGTGCAGCAACAAACAGCAGCGAAGACGAAATTATCCTCTCAGATTTCAGACTTACTTACTAGGCCAACACCAGCTTTGAATAGTGGAGGAGGAAAGTTGCCATTTACATTTGTAACTAAGGAAGTAGCTGAAGCCACATGTAATTGCCTTCTCGCCCAGGCACAGCAGGCAGACAAGAAGGGAAAATCAAAGGCAGCAGCAGAGCGGATGATTCTTGAGGAATTCGGAGGATGTTTGATGAGCGTCATCAACTCTGCAGGAAAAGCAAAAAGTGACCCTTGTGCCATGAATTGCTAACTCTTGCACAAGACTGATAAATGAACGTGTACAGAAATTTTAAGGATGCTTGACTGTCTGGAAGATAGTTTAACAATTACTGTATTTGAATTCAGTCCTTGTTTTAAGACACCTGAAATTATAATATTGAAAGAGAAGAAATTTTAAATGAGAAAATTAGTACATTTTAAATCTTAGTTAATTCTATGCCCCTTCTAAATAGAATTTTTCTTTTAAATTTTTTTCTTTATTGTATTATATAGATTTTTAATTTACTTGGGTTTCTTAAGAATTAGATGTTCTATCCTTCTGATTCTATTGGCAAAGAACATTTATAAATTACTATGATATAATTTATAATGTATGGCATTGTATGACTTTGTTCAGTAGAAAAAAAACAAAGCAGCATTGGTATTGCCAAGTCATTCTTTGGTTCTAGATTTAGAATAAACAGACAGAATGTCTACATAAACAAATTATGGAACATATTTGGACGACATCTTATGTTTAGAAAAGTGCTATCTTTTTAAGAAAAATTAGCTTTTTTAGGGTGAATTCTGGGATATGCTATTGTCACTTTGGTAAATTAGAAGGGGAAGTAATCCCCAGGCACACTTTTAAAATTAAAAATTATATTTTCAAAAAAAACAGAACAAAAGAAAACAAAATATTAAGGGAGAGTAAGTGATTTTCAAAAGATGGGCAGTTTTTCTATAATGAGGAATGGCTAACATGCTGAAGGATGTCTCCATTGTCTTTCAGAGGTGGTATGTGTTTGAAATAATAAATTGTTGAAGTGATTGCTGGGTATTGTTAAAATGAGGTATGTGTGAATAGAAGTAAACATTATGTAGTGATAATGTAGATCCTCTCATAACTATCAAGTATAAAATTTGGCTTGAATGGAGATATAAGGAATAAAGAAGCTGTAAGAGAGTGAATTTAGGGAAAGATTTCTCATCTCTACAGTTTTCTTTCTAGACTTTTGAACAGAAAATTTTCAAACCAATACACGACTCTTAATTGATTTACTCAAATTGGCTGCCTAACAAAGCATTCAAAATTATAGTGGGATTTTTTTTATATGGGATTTTAATATGCCATTATTTTTAGCCAGTGATTTGGTAAGCTGAAGGTACGTGTGTTTTCAGATAATTGTTGAAATTACCTAAATCATTTTCAGTAATTTAAAAACTCTATGAATTTAAGAGCCTTTTAGTAGGACTCCTGATTTTATGACAAAATAACAACAACAAAAAAACCATGTTGGAATTCAGGCGTTTTGTTAGGTACTTTAATCCTCAGTAATTATTAGTATATGATCATTACATTTCCTACAAGGACTCTATACTTGTATGTATTAAGTGTGTATATATGTTCATATGAACATGCAAGATATAAGCAATAGAAATTAAGTAATCCAGAAGAGGATTCCGTTATTCATTAAAGTATCCTTCTTTTGAAATTTGGATTTATAAAATTATAGTGCAGTAACTTTAAATGTAGATAGTGCAAACATTCTTAGCACCTCAATCTAGTATGTCTAATTAAATTTGTATAAATGTAAATTACTGTAAGAGGATAAAATAATATCTAATGAAGTTATTTTTCAAAAGATTGCAATGTTTTTGGTCTGAACCTAAACTTTGTTCATTTTGTATATATTCTGTGTTAATTCTAATTGCACCATTGTGATGTGTATTTATATACAGTGTGCAGAAAATGTGAAATTTTGATTACAATTGTAGATTATGTATGATGGCATTGCTTAAGAATGTCTTGCTTGGAAAATTTTGAAGGTGCAATCAAATGCTACTAGTTTTTGATTTTCAAGAAGCTATCTAAAGAATTAAGCCTTTTTCTTCCTGTGTAGTACTTACTAAACAACTTTTTGTATTTAGGCATTTGCATCAAATTGCTGAACAAGATTAATAGCCACATTAATCCAACAATTTTAAAAGACTATTTGGGGAGGGTTGGGTATATAATTTTCTAGCTCTATTTACATCCCAAAGTAGAAAGATTAAATTTATATTTACTAGAGCTATTCAAATACACTTTTATATATTGTAAAAACAGGATAGGAAAGTAAATCATACAGAAAATAAACATTCATACTATTATGTAAAAAAAAAAAAAAAAGGCTTCCAAATGAAAGATTTTTTTTCCACAGTCTCTACTTAGGCTATCTCAAGAGGAAACAAACCATAGAGAAAGCACTGAGAATTACTTTATTGTGTCACGTTTCAAGCAGCTAGCAAAAACCGTGTTTGATTTACAGTTTCAAATACATCTATCAGTATAGGAGAAAATAGTGAAACCTAAAATTCATAGTTTTACTGCAAATGAACTCTTTAACTTAGCAGAACAAAATTTGGGTGGCCAACTGGGATTTGTGTACTGATCATTACCGCCAAATACCATCAAGAATGGGTGAAGAAATGGTTTCTGATATTTCAGGAAACTCGTAGTGTTTTGGAAGCTTCTCACAGGTTTTCAAATGAAAGTGTTTTTCCCCAGTCTCTACTTAGGCTACTTCAAGAGGAAACAAATCATAGAGACAGCACTGAGAACCACTTTATTGTGTCAATTTTCAAACAGTTAGCAAAAACCTTGATTGATTTTGGTTTCAAACTACATCTAACAATATAGGAGAAAACAGAGTGAAACCTAAAAAATCAAAAAGTTACTACAAACGAACGCTTCAACCTAGAAGAACGAAATTTGGGGGGCCAAGAGAGATTTGTGTACTGATCATTACTGCCAAGTATCATCAAGATTGCATGAAAAAATGTTTTCTGAGATTTCAGGAAACTCGTAGTTTTTGGAAGCTTTTCAATGGCTTTAAAATGAAAGAGTTTTTCCACAGTCTCTACTTAGGCTACTTTAAGAGGAAACATACCACAGAGATAGCACTGAGAACTACTTTATTCTGTCACGTTTCAAGGAGGTAGCCCAAACCGTGTTTGATTTAGGGTTCCAATGACATCTATCAATATTGGAGAAAACAGTGAAACCTAAAAATTCATACTGTTACTGCAAACGAATGCTTCCACCTAGAAGAACGAAATTTGTTGGGCCAATGGGATTTTTGTACTGATCATTGCCAACAAGTATCATGAACATTGCGGGAAAAATGTTTTCTGAGATTTCAGAAAACTCCTAGATTTTGAAAGCTTGTCAAAGACTTTGAAATGAAAGATTTTTTTCCACAGTCTCTACTTAGGCTACTTCAAGAGGAAAAAAAATGTAGAGATAGCACTGAGAACTACTTTATTGTGTCAAGTTTCAATCAGCTTGCAAAAACCGTGTTTGAAGTTCCACCTACAGCTACCAATATAGGAGAAAACAGAGTGAAACCTAAAAATTCAAAATGTCACTGCAAATGAACGCTTCAACCTAGAAATGTGAAATTTGGGGGGCCAAGTGGGATTTGTGTACTGATCATTACCGCCAAGTACCATCAATAATGGGTGAAAAAATGTTTTCTGAGATTCAAGTAGCAATCAAAAACCGTTCTTGTTTTAGAGTTCCAATTACATCTATCAATATTGGAGAAACTGAGTGAAACCACAAAATTCAAACTGTTACTGCAAACGAACTTTTCAACCAAGAAGAACGAAATTAGGGGGGCCAAGTGGGATTTGTGGATTGATCATTACCCGCAAGTATCATTAAGATTGGTTGAAAACATGTTTTCTAAGATTTCAGGAAACTCGTAGTTTTTTGGAAGCTTGTCAAAGGCTTTCAAATGAAAGTGTTTTTCGGCAGTCTCGGTTAGGGCTACTTAAAGAGGAAACAAACGATAGTGATAGCACTGAGAACTACTCTACTGTGTCAAGTTTCAAGCAGATAGCAAGAACCAAGTTTGATGTTCCAACTACATCTATCTATATAGGAGAAAATAGAGTGAAACCTAAAAATTAAAACTGTTACTGCAAACAAACGCTTCAACCAGAAGATTAAAATTTGGGGGGCAAAGTGGGATTTGTGTACTGATCATTACCACAAAGTATCAGCAAGATTGGATGAAAAAATATTTTCTGAGATTTCAGGAAACTCGTAGTTTTTTGGAAGCTTGTCAAAGGCTTTCAAATGAAAGTGTTTTTCCCCAGTCTCTACTAAGGCTACTTCAAGAGGAAACAAAGCATAGAGACAGCACTGAGAAGCACTTTATTGTGTCAATCTTGAAACGGATAGCAAAAACCGTGTTTGATTTAGGGTTCCAACTACATCTATCCATATGGGAGAAAACAGAGTGAAACTTAAATATTCAACTGTTACTGCAAACGATTGCCTCAACCTAGAAGAACGAAATTTGGGGGGCCAAGTGGAATTTGTGTACTTCTCATTACCACCATGTATCATCAAGATTGGATGAAAAAATGTGTTCTCATATTTCAGGAAACTCGTAGTTTTTTGGTAGCTTGTCAAAGGCTTTCAACTGCAAGTGTTTTTCCACAGTCTCTACTTAGGCTACTTCAAGAGGAAACAAAGCATTGAGATAGCACTGAGAACTACTTTATTGTGTGAAGTGTAAAGCAGCTAGCAAAAACCGTGTTTGCTTTTGGGTTCCAACTACATCTATCAGTATAGGAGAAAACAGAGTGAAACGTAAAAATTCAACTGTTACTGCAAACGAACGCTTCAACCCAGAAGGATAAGTTCGGGAGGCCAAGTGTGATTTATGCACTGATCATTACCGCCAAGTATCAGCAAGATTGCACCAAAAAATGTTTTCTCATATTTCAGGAAACTCGTAGTATTTTGGTAGCGTGTCAAACGCTTTCAAATGCAAGTGTTTTTCCCCTGTCTCTACTTAGTTTTATCTCTATGCTTTGTTTCCTCTTGAAGTAGACTGAGAACTACTCTATTGTGAAGTTTCAAGCAGCTAGCAAAAACCATGTTTGATTTAGGGTTCCAAATACTTCTATCCATACAAGAGAAAACAGAGTGAAACTTAAATATTCAACTGTTGATGCAAACGAATGCTTCAACCTAGAAGATCGAAATTTGGGGAG